TATATTTAAATAATAAATAATAATAATATATTTATCTATATATTTAATCGGCATGTCGACTGAACGATGTGTGTAGAATGAGGTTAATTTATAATCAGACTGGCTTTGCAAAGCTCTTCGATAATCGACAGTATTTCGTTGTCGTGACCATTGTGACCCGTCTGCCTCGGGCAATCGCAGACAATCCACAATTTCGTTGGTATCAATCCAATGGATATAATCGATCTTGTTATCGTTTAGCGTCATTGTACACGGTAAATCCAATCCTTTGTTTATTCCTGTTCCAACTTTTTTACCCGACACCAACGGCGCTATTATGTTCTTATACCTGTATCCCTTACTACCCATTATTTGATTACTCGGGCTATGACCGCGCTGGTGAGCATTTGTCTTCAGCAAAATGCTCCTGTAGATCTGTATGTCATCATCCATACAGACACTTTTGTTAAGAAATTTCATTAGAAAATTAACTCGTACAAGCTCGGTGTTTCATCGTATCTTTTCCTATCTATAATTATATCGTCGTTTTTGTGCAAAGTGATACGTTTGTCACCAAGCATTGTTTCCTTGTCGTTGAAATAAACTTTATACACAACGTCTATGTTGACAGCTTTCTTACTGCTCAGAATCGCTTTAAGATATTTTTGGCCCAACTGACCATAGTTTGCATGCAGCTTTTCTTGTCCCTTGAATGTTTAAAACAGGTGTCGAATAAATGTTACGATCATCGGCAATCTCGAAAATTTCTTCGATAATGGGAGCGTGATCATATGATAAATCGCGCGGTTATTATTTCAGACACTTCGTTCAAAGTGGATGGTACGGTTTTCGATTGACTCAACATTGATTTCATAGGCGTGGAAGCCTGTATAGGATTGTCGCACAAAGCACTCAATCGTTTTCTTTTGGGTTTTGGTTTCTCGTCTTTTCTCGGAAAGAATGTTTCAATCATAATAGAATCCTTGGAGGATTTAACAGTATTTTCGACAATCTGTTTTAGCGGGTCAATAATAGGTTTGAAGTGTCTTTCCAATGCGATATTCTCCTCATTTTATCAGTCTTCAAAATGCGGTATTTTTTGCGAATCGAATCGCTCATTTTCGCAATCTCCTTAGCTATCTTTTCACGATCTTTGCTATTGTTCCATGTCAACATCAATGTATCGAGGTCCAATGATCACATTACGGTATTGCAAAGTCATTAAATTCTTTTCTGTATTGGTAAGCGCACTGTCCTTGTCAATCACTAGAAATCTATACGTTTGCTGCCAACATTTATATGACATAAATCGCAGAAATCCTCATAGGACATATCAGTATTCACATGATCGTTGTACACGCGTTTCAGATGGTACCATCCTGTTTGAACAGGATCAATAGATTTGCATTGCCGCATATAAAGTGCTTCGGTATCTTTTCGTCTGACAGAGATAGAAACAGTCGACGTCCATGTGTTGTTCCATTGCAAAGTACTGTCTTATCGTGTCCTGCTTGTGGTGTGCCACGTCATCAAAGATAAAAATGGAATTCGGAAGCGCCTCGGTAGAATGAGATCACTGTTATTAGATATGTAAAATAACCGATTTCCTCGATTAGTGTTAACAAATTCGCCAGATCCAAATCGATATTACGGTTGTTGCAGCGATTTCAAGTACACATACACATTCTCAAATCGTACGCTGTGCGAACTTTTCAACAGGCTTATCAGTACGTTTGTCTTGCCGCAATTTGACGGTCCGCAGAAGATAGCGCATATAGAGGCTGGTAGCATATCGCCATGCTTGCGCGTTTTCTTTATCGGTTTGCATTTTACGGTCGAGATTCGTCTTTGATCACCTGCGACTGACGCACGAACCGCATATTTTCTCTTTCTACAAAGTAGGAAAAACTACTAAAAACGATATTGCGAGCGGGCCTATTTATAGAGCCGCGTAGAGCGAAATCGATCAGTAATCAAAATATTCCTTGTGTTGAATGATCTGCACAGTTTAACCTCAAAGAACTGGAATACATACCGAAAATTGTACTACTGCAAGAGTTTGAAAATTGCATAGATCTGTTGTGGGACAGATTACCAGAATACGAGGGCTGTCTGAAAAGTTTCCGACCTCAACGTGAAGATAGCAGCATTGGTAAGTAAAAGCTAGTGAATTTCGTTGTTCATCTGTTAACAGTTACTCACCACAGTTTCAGCCATTTTGGACGCACAGTTGTTATGTAGCAGTCGTTTGAGTGAGTTCATGTTAGTCATTTTGTGAAAATGGACAAAATCGAGTATCGAGCTGTCATTAAATATCTGTTTTTGAAAGGCAATACGCCTACGCAAATCAAAGATGAGTTGGATTCTGTGTACGGGGACTCTGCACCATCATTTACCACAGTGAAATTTTGGGCAGCTGAATTTAAACGTGGCCGTAAGAGCTTGGGAGACGATGAACGTTCGGGACGTCCAAAAACTGCAACTGCCGACGAAAACATCGCCAAAGTTCACCAAATTGTGCTAGACGACCGCCGAATTAAAGTGAGAGAGATAGCAGAGGTTATGAAAATGTCAAAAGAACGTGTTTGTCACATATTACATGAACATTTAGGCATGACAAAGCTGTCCGCGCGTTGGGTGCCGCGTTTGCTCACGTTAGACCAAAAACGTGTTCGAATGAACATTTCCAACGCTCTGTTGGCGCAGTTTAGGCGCAATAAATCCGAGTTTTGGCGCCGATTAATTACTGTAGATGAAACTTGGATACACCATTATGCGCCCGAAACAAAAATACAGTCCAAACAGTGGATTGCAAAGAGGGAACCGGCTCCAAAAAAAGCAAAAGCTGCTTTTTCGGGTGGGAAAGTGATGGCGACTATTTTCTGGGATAGTCATGGAGTTATTTTCATCGATTATCTTCAAAAAGGTAAAACCATTACAGGAGCATACTA